AATTAAACATCATCTACCTATGATTCACTGTTACGCTGATGATTCACAAGTTTACATCTCATTTAGTCCGAACGACAGAGCTGAAAAACTTGCGGTGGTGAGGAATATGGAAGACTGCATCAGAGACATTTGTTCTTGGATGTTTAATAATGATCTTAAGTTTCATAACGACAATACATTAGTTCATCACAACAGCTGGGAAAGCTAGATAATATCAGTATACGTGTGGGTGACTCAGATATTCATCCCGTGCCACTCGCGAGAAATCTTGGTTGTTGGTTTGATTCTAGGCTGCCCATGGCATCACATATCACAAAAATCTTTGCCTCTTCATTTTACTATATTTATAATATTCGTCGGATCAGAAAGTATCTTTCACGGCAGTCATCTGAGATACTTGTCCATGCATTCATAACAAGTCGTCTTGACTATTGCAATGGTCTTTTATAGGGACTACCAGACTGCTTGTTGAATAAACTGCAACGAGTACAGGACGTTTGCGCCAGACTGATTTTTAAAGAACAGAAATTTTTTCATGTAACACCTCTTATTTATGAATTACACTGGTAGCCGATTAAATATAGAATTGATTTTAAAATACTTTTAATTAATTTCAAGATTCTTAATTTTTTAGCGCCTACTTATTTATCGTTTCTCATTTCTCTTAGGCTCCCATCTAAATATAATCTAAGGAATTCTAATGATAACCCTTTTACTTAATCGTTTCATTTGACAGAAGCGCCAGCACAGTTAGTATTTTTAAAGCCAAGCTAAAAACTCACCTTTTCTGTCATGCATTGTTATCATATCAAGTTCACTCTTAATGTAATTTTAGCTTTTTAGCCTTTTCATTTCGTTTTTTAATCTTGTCATGCGCATGAGAGGGCTGCCACAGATGAAACTGGCGAAGGAAATGCCAGGAAGTTGAAGAGGAAATTGAAGAAATTGAAACACACCCTGATACAGAGTCATCAGGTAAGCGCCACCTGCTGCGAATTGGTTAACGAGTGATGATCTATGGGATTCGATGAGAAACTTGGTGAAACAACCTGCATTTTATTACGTATTTCACACATAGAGGGCAAAGTCCAGATGGGCAACAACCAATCAAGGAGCCTACTTTGAAATATTATCCTTTTCTTCTCTCATTTGAAATCGCAATATCGCAATGTCTTTGCTTTGGTTCTATTGAAGATACAATAGACTTCCAGTTTGCTTTTCATAATAAAAATTACATGGAATTAAACTTTTTAGGCAACTCACTGTAGACAAATAGTTTTAATTTTCTCTCTGTTAGAGGAACGGCACTAAATGTAGTCCCCTTCGTAACCGTTATTTGGTCTTGTCACGCAACGCTTTCCAATAGGGAATAGTTAGCGTTGTGTGACGAGATCAAAAGATTTTGATTGTGTCACGAGAAAATGTACCCCTTGGCTCTGTAATATTCTTATGATCTCCCTTTATTACCAGGAGTTAATGGTCAGTCAATTCTAAAAAGTCTCTTCCTTTATGCTCTTTTGGCAACGACCGATCCCCCACTCGTTCCCCTTGAAAACCATGTAACACCCCCCAAAAAAAATCCTCCCCCGTCCCCATTCCCCATGTTAATAGATAATGACTGATTCCTAAACACTCATTCACTCAAAAGAGGTATGGTACTACAGTTGTATAATTTAACGGATGGAAATATTTTTTTCGAAGAACCATCTCCATTATTACTAACTGGACTTCTTTGATTATCACCTCTAGTGTTTAAAACTTGCTATAAATTTTGAATTAAACCGACTCTCTTTTAGAACATCAGGAAAATCAGCCGAACGCATTCAAAAGAAGAAAACGAACCAAGAAAAGGGGCCTAGACAAAAAGAAGTCCGGGAAGAAATGTTACGAGCAGACTCGAGCGAAATGGAGCAAAAGATAGGAAGTCAAACGGAAATAGAATCAACATTAACTGCGTTACTCCGATAGCTCGAGGAAAGGAACCAGCGAGTGACCACTCTTCAGAAGCAACTTAGGGAGACGAATCAGCAGTGTTTAGAAAGAT